GAACCCCATTATCACTATCCCCAGAGCACCAGGCCATCCCCAGAAGAGGAATCAAGGCCACCCTGGAGAGGGACACGGAGGGAGGATCTCAGGTCAGGAGTGGGTGGAAGCAGGGACAGGGAATCCTCCATAAATGGGGAATGAATGAAGCCCGTGAATGGGGGGGGGGACTCCGTGAACAGCTGAGGAAGGGTCAGGGGCAGCGGAAAGATGGCGGACGGTGAGGGACAGATGGGGGACAGGACGGTGGGGTGGGCGGAGGATGACTACAGGGATGGGGGTGGGGGGCAGAGGGATGAGCAGAAGAAAGGAGGGGAAGGAACAGCCCAAAGCCCAGGTTGAGGGTGGGGCAGTCGCTAGGCACCAGGATGGGCCTTGTGCCCCCCACTGCGGGCCTGCCCTGGACCCTGAGAGGGGGACCGTCCCCTCCCCACAGGCCTTGCCAGCTCTGGGAGCTCATCACGGCCAGGCCACTCGCCCCTGGACAAACCCTGCCGGATGCCAACCGCCTGCTGAAGGCCTGAACTCACGGGGAGGCCCTGAGAGAGGCCCGGCCACTCCCAGCCTCAGAGCAGCCCGCCCAAGGCCTGGGATTTGATGCGCACTTTGTGGGGCAGCGAGGGCTGAGCCAGACCCTGGGGACCGTTCCCTGGGACCGGGCAGGTCACGGTGGCAGAAAGCCCCGTGGGGTCTGCAGAGGGTGTCAGCAACAAATCTGACGGCCCTGGGGCCCGGCATCCAGGGGACACGGGTGACCACAGTCCCCAGCAAGACTTGAGCTCTGGTCTGGACCCCACCTGCCCCTCCAAGAGGTGACACCGGAAGAGGGCAGCGGGGAGGGCAGCCTGCAAGGCCACGTCAATGTTCTCGGGGGCCAGGGAAGCAGAGTCCGGGGAGAACCTGGAAGAGGAGGCCAGGCCGGCCCACCCCTGGGCCATCAGGCAGCCCTGGCACCCTGGGATCCCAGCATCCAGGGAATACGGCCCCCGGAGGCCGCCCTGGGAGCCAGCCAGGCACGGGAGTGGTTCCGCTGCAGGGTGGGCCGTCCAGGGAGACTCCCACAGCAGGGCCTGCAGCGGCGCCGTCCGGGGTCCCCCCGCTGGAGGCAGGAGGCCGAAGCGCAGCCTGAGCGCCCGCAGCTCGGCCCGCAGCAGCGCGTTCTCCTCCAGCAGCGCCGCCAGCCTGCTCTCCACCGCCACGTCGTTGAGACGCCGCTTCTCCCGGGACCTCTTGGCCGCCTCGTTGTTCTTCCGCCGCTTCTCCCAGTAGACAGTGTCCTTCTTCTCCTCCGGCATGAACTCCCTCTGCCTTCGCACGGCTGGGCCCCGGCCCCGGGCAACCCAGAGAGTCTTGCTGGGACCTTGAGCTATGTCTGGCAGGCCCAGCACGTCCATGTCCAGGGCCACCGGGGAACCTGGGAAAGAGGACAGAGGTCTTGGACTGAACACCTGGGGGTTGACCCAGATGACCTCTCCCTTGGATTTACCCTGTGTCTCTGCCATCACCGGTGGAGGGGACAGCTGGAATGGGGATTGGGTTGGAGGCCAGGGTGGAGACCGAGAGATGGTGGGCAGTAAGGGGAGCTGGCGGGCGGCTTGAGGCCTGAGGGGGGAAGCACTTAGTAAGGCCTCCAGGTGGAGGCCACTTGGCCAGAAGAGGCTTAAGAGCATCCCAGAGTCATCCTGGAGAGCCAGTCAGCAGGACAGAGGCTGCTCCCCGGGCATTCTCCTTACCACTGAGAAGGTCAGAAAACAAGCCAAGGGCTCAGTTTAATCTGAGATCCAGGGTCAAGTTCTTGGAGACCCAAGGAGGACAGAAGGGAGGCTGAACCTAGAAAGAGAGAATGTGTGACCATGCAGTTAAACGGGCCAAGCTGGGGTCAGAAGACAAGCTGCTATTCACCCAGATTGCACCACAAAATCTCCCCCATCTGTGGCTGGAATTTTTATGGGCCCAAGGCATGAATAAGTGGACTGATGGAAAAACACCTAATAACGGCACAGTGTCTTTAAATTTTCTAACAGTGAATGAATGACCTGTTGGATGGTGCCTTAGTCCACTTTCTGTTGCTAAATCCAAATGCCTCAGATTGTAGGATAATTTGTAAAGAATATAAATTTATTTAGCTCATTGTTCTGGAGACTTGGCACCTGCTGGTGGCCCCCCTGCTCCATCATAACATGGTGGAAGGCATCACGTGACAAAGCAAGGGTGCACAGAGGGCCCACCTGCATAGCAAAGCCTCTCCCTCCATTGACCATTCATCTGTTAATCCACGAATGCGTTTGCTACTTGTACAGGAGGAGTCCTCGTGACTCAGTCACTTCCCAAAGCACCCCCCAAATACCGTTAACGTATGGATTGGGGAATTAACTTCCAAGTCCAGGAAATTTGAGGAGAACCTTCAAACCATAGCAGATTGATGGAGGGTGAGCAAGTGGTAGATGCACTAAGTGAGTGCACAATGGGCATGGGAGGTGGATGGTGTTTGAGAGTGGACAGGTGACACATAAGATGGAATGATGGATGGTGAGCTAGTGGGGGAGTGGACAGAGGGACAGACAAGGGAAAAGTTTAGTGAGTGGATGGTGACTGGGTGGGTGGATGGATAAATGGATGGATGAATGCATGGCTGGCTCGATGGCTGGATGGATGGATGGGTGGAAGGGTGGATGGATGGAATAGATGGGTGGGTGAATGAGTAGATGGAGATGAATGGATGGTTGGAGATGGATGGATATATAGAGATGGGTGGATGAGAGGATAAGTGAATGAGATGGATGGTAGATGGACATAAATAGATGGATGTGAATAGAAGGATGGATGGATGGAGATGAGTGGAAGGAAGGAAGGAAGGAAGGAGTTGGATAAATGGACTGGTTGGAGATGGATAGGTGGATAGAGATGGTGGATGGATAGAAGGACAGAAATGGATGGATGCATGCATGAATGGATGGAAGGGTGGATGGATGGACATAGATGGGTAGATGGGTAAATGGAGATGGATGAATGGATTGGAGATGGATAGGTAGATGGATGGGATAGAAGGATGGATGGATGGATGGATGAAGATGAGTAGATGGAAGGAAGGATGGATGGATAGATGGATGGATGGATGGATGGATGGGTGGGTAGATGGATGGATGGATGAAAGGATGAGTGAATGGAAATAGATGGGTGGATGGACATGAATAGATGGACAGAGATGGAAGGATGAATGGATGGAGATGGGTGGGTAGATGGAGATGGATAGATGAACTGGAGATGGATAGATGAATAGGTATGGGGTAGATGGATGGAGATAGATGGATGGATAGATGGATGGAGATGAATGGATGGATAGGCAGATGTCTTTTTTTGGCCACCATTTTATCCTTGGTACTTAACATTGTGTTTGTGGTAAATTCACTAATTGTTGAGTAAATGAATCAATCAACCTGTTCACAGATGGAGAGCGTTTGGCCTTCCTACTGAACTCCAGCCAAAAAAAATGAAACCCACCACATTGCCCTGTTTGCTTTGGCCACCAAGAAACTCAGAACTCAGTTTTAAGATAAATGGTGGTAGCTTTGGCTGGACGCAGTGGCTCATGCCTGTAATCCCAGCAATTCAGGAGTCTGAGGCGGGAGGATCACAAGTTTGAAGCAGCCTCAGCAACTTCATGAGGCCCTATCTCAAAAATAAAAGGGCTGGGGATGTAGCTCAGTGGTAGAGTGCCCCTGGGTTTCAATCCCCAGTACCCCTCCCCCCAAAAAATGGTATCAGCTTGAATCGGGAGCACATATTTTCCTTCTCCTCCAAGGTTTTTTCTTGAATTAAGTCTTTTCCTCTGTGCTACCAGTTCTTGACCTTAGTGTCTGTGGCTGCATAAGATAATTCAGGTCATGTTGGAAAGGGGTGAAGGCATACACAGTCAAATCACACCACTCCAGGGACCAGGATCCTAAGTCCACATTCTAAGGGCGCTCTGCTCCAAAATATGAAAAATAAATAAACAGAGACATTTCAAAAAATTCTGCATAACTTATTCCTTAAAGGAGAATCACAAAATACACTAAAGGCTCAGAGAGGTCCTGCAAAAGTAAGTTTTAGTTTTGTTTGACTTGCGTGTTCTCCAACCTACTTGTCTGTGATATGTTTATGCTTCACTAAACACTTTGGGATATAAGGATTTTTTTTTTTTTTGCAATGAACCAATAAATGCACAGATTTTTTTTTAAATGAACCATTAAGCATTATTTTTCAATGAACCACTAACTACATTAGCGTTTTTGGAATGAACCATTAAATGTACAAATATTTTTAATAAATCAATAAATGCAAGAGTATTTGAACAAGGAGCATCAGCAGATGAATAAGTGGTCGCAAGGCAGGCACCATGGCAGAGGGGTCCAATGAGCCTGAACGGCTCCTCTCTCCCCACGTGGCTGGCCTGGGACATCCACTGCCCAGCCGGCTCATCCGAGTTCCCAGGTGGACAAGCCCCAGACACGGTACTCTCTGCCACCAGCCTGTCCTGTCCTGGGGACTTCAGAGGAGATCCCCACAATTGTCCCAACTTCAAGTGTTGCTGACCACAGCCCAGGAACTGATGAGCACCTGGGGAGGGGTCAAGGCCTTCCTGAGGTGGCCGGAACCCAGCTGGGTTGGGAAGGAGAGTGGGGACAACCAGGGGTCCTCAAAAGCCACGCCAACCAGCTGGACCATGTGGCCCAGTCCTCCTGCTTTTCTGTATACCCCCTGGGGATCCCTGCAGCACGGTTCACAGTGGCCAAGACACAGAGCCAACCGAGTGTCCACCGACAGACAAATGGATAAAGGAAATGTGGTCTCGATGCATGAGGAGAGCTATTCAGTCATCCAAAAGGGATGAGGTCCTGTCACCGGGGAAACATGGATGAACCTGGGGACGTGACAGCGAGTGAAACAAGCCAGGCACCGCAAGCAAGAACTTCCTGTTCCCACTCATAGCAGAAGGGAGCGGACAGTGGCCACTAGGAAGTGGGCAGGGTGAGGGAGAAGCGTATGAAGGCCACACACACACACACACACACACACACACAGTGATAAGGAGATGTTGGTTTTGTTGGTTTGTGTTTTGGGGGTGGCTGGGGATGGAACCCAGGGCCTGTGCGTGCGAGGCAGGCCCTCTACCAGCTGAGCTACACCCCCAGTCCCAAGATAAGGCGATGGAAATGCTCCTTAACCCTGATTTGATTGTCACATATTTTATACATGGATTGATTGTCACACTGTACCCCATACCCAACAGAAATCTTTATGTGTCAGTTAGAAAGAAAAAAAAAAAAACCTAGTTTCTAAAAGCCAAGCCAGGGCCAGCAGATGCCCAAGGAAGAAGACCCAGCATAGGCAGGTGGTCAGATAAAGGGCAGGACAGGCTGAGCGCTCTGGGGCGGACGCTGTCATGCAAAGCCCGTGAGGTGGAGGGTGGCTCCGTTTCACTGTGGCACTCCGTGCCAGAGTCCGTCCTCACTGTGGCTTGGTCTGAGTCCCCCAACCGCTGCTTCCCTACACCTCTGCTGGGACCAGATGGGGCAGCAGATAGCCTCAGGGCCCGGGTCTATTTAGAGAGGAGGCAGTGAGGGCCAGGCCTTCCTGTGGTCACGGAGGAAGCGCTAAGGAGGGGGTGAGCAGAGCCACCCCTTGAAGCGGCCAGAGGGTGAGGAAACAGGAAAGTGGCCTCCCTCACAGAGGCCCGGCCAGCTCCACCCTAGTCCTCCACAGCCCCCCTGACCCGGGGGCCTTCAGCTCTGCTCCCGGGTGACAGGAATGCAAGCATCTCTGCCACCTGCTGATCTCCTTTCCTTTGGTGAACACCCAGTGGAGGGCTTGCGATGACACCTGCTGTTCCATGACCTTGCTCCCTGTCCCCGCTCCAGCCTGCTGTCCTCCAAAAAAGGGCACATTTATTGAGCTAGGCATGTGCAATGTCTCATTTGTCACTCGTGCCACCCAGGAGGACAGTATAGTATGGTCCTTCTCCTGGTGTGACAGGTGAGGAACCAGGCTCTGAGCAACCCGCCCAAGCAAGCACCCGCAGGCTCCGGCGCCGTCTCCCCTGCCACGCCAGGTGGACACGCCTCGTCCACTGAAGGCGCGGTCTTGAGTCCAGTAGCATCTCTAAAGGGTAGAGGTCGGAGTCCACAAAGGAGAAGAGAGTCCAGAGACCGCAGAGCTAACTACCGGGCAGGGCTGAGATGGACACCCAGCTGTCCAGAGGCAATGTGGGGGGAAGAGGAGCACCTGCTTTGGGTATGAGATCAACATGCACAAATCAGTCGCTTCCCTACAC